CTGGGGATCGTCTTGTCAAATGCGCGCGGAAATGGCACGGCGAAGTGCTGGGGAATTGGCGGTAATTTGGCCCCACTTTACTTGTTTAGGTCATAACACCACATGGCCAAGCCCACATATGCAAGATTAGATAAGGCGTAGGGCTCCTGGGTGCACGGCCACAAATGCCCAGTGGGGCGCATCTCGCAGAATGCATCACACCCTTTGGATGCATCAGCCTCTGCTGACCTCACTCGGGCTTCTTTTATCGGCCTCAACCTTACCTATTCAACTACCATGGCGGCTCGAAGGGGGTCCACTTCTTCACAAGCCTCACCCAGCGCCTCTCCTGATCTCCTAGTCTGAGGTAAGCGGAACATCAGCAACACGAATAAAGGGTGTCGTCTCCAAGTTTGTGCGTTTTCTTCTGCCACGTTGCTCTTGATTCTCGCACTTGCTGGCTAAACCTCCTGCAGAATATTGACGTCCTTTCCATCTTACTCTGGCTTCTCCTTGTCTGCAAGAACCGCCGCTCCTCCAAGTCTTGAATAGCTAGTAAACCTGCCGCTTCTTCCATCTCTCGACCTCCATACACCAGCCGACCCTGACTCTGGAATTTCCAACATCCCCCATACGCTTCTTACCATGCGGTGTGAAGCCCCTCGTCAGCACCCTTGAACATGTTGCCCGGCAGCAGGGTCACAGGTGGTCTTGGTCAGATTCTTATGCGCTGCGGTTAGGCAAGAAGAGGCAGGATGTGGACGTACGTGATCGTGACATATTGGGCAAGTCTGATGGCATGTCGACAGTACGATAGCTGAGATACCTAGGGAACTTTAGCAATCACTAAGAGAAGTATGTAACCGATAGCTAGAGGACCGGGGCTGGTCATACTTTTAAAAGTTAGCGTCGGGATTGCTGAGTTCTCTTTATTCTCACATACAAACAGAACCCCGATTCTGCACACCAAACGCCACCACCAGGCCCATTACGGCAGATAGCTACAACAATACGTTAGTTATGTGGTAGTAACTAACGCCCTATATATCCCGCGTAATATATTACAACTGCTCCTGCGCTCACACATACTAGCACGTCCCCGTCGCTCTTCACTGGCACGGCCTCGCTTCCCCGACAGCAGCGCGTTAATGGTCCCTAGACCTGTGCGGCTTCTCTACTTAAGCCTCCCCGCGCACCCCATATAGTACTGTGTTAAACGTGTGCATCTGCTTTGTAGCCTTGTTAAGCAATTTTGTAGCGGACTCTAGAGTATAGATCAGGGTATCGCAACAGGCAAGGAGGGATTCGAAGAGATGGTCAAGTCTGTAGAATACGTCCTTAACAGGGCTGGTGGTATGGACTGATTATTCCTGTTCCTGTTCAGAGTTGAGTGGATTTGACACTGTGACTCACAAGGATTCGGGATCTGTGTTGCTGACAGCAGACTTGAACAGCGCTCACGCTGTCATTGAGGCTTGCTGCGCTTCGCGAAGCAAATCTAACACCGTTCTGTAATGACACAGCGCGGTGAGGGCGTCATGGTCGTCCTACCAATTGGGCACTTGCGGAAGGACAGCGTGGAAGACGTCCTCGGGCGTCCTGCTCCATACAACACCCCCGCCGTCGTTTTTGCCATTGTTAGCGCCACCGTCAGAGTGGTTCTGATGCTGCCGCTGCTGCTACTGGTAGGCGTCGTAGGGCATGTAGGCGATAGTGTTACTGGGCGTAGAGACTTGTTTCCCAAGTCGCTGTGTATGGATGCCGACGATGCAATAGCTCAGACTCAATGCAAGGCAGCGCTCAGGTAGTAAGGCGGAGCTCTGAGAATTTGCGCTAAATAGTGGGAATTAGAGCGTCTGGATTGTTAAGGAAGTAAACAGGTTATACGTAGGGACGCATGATGGCGGTGAGGTTGCAAAGAGTAATGATGCTTGATGTAGGTGTGGCTGCTGCTGTGACGGTATGGTTTGAGGCGGATATAGTCGTCCGAAATTGCACAGAGTAATCCCGGCAGATAGAAGACAAAGGAATTAACAATGAGAAGAAGGAGGCAGTAACAAGCAGGAGGAGCATAGCTGCAGGTTCAGCCCAGTAGGAAAGCAGTAGACAGCAAGGTAGTTATAGGTTACAATAACAAGACAATCGTCATAGTGCTTAGGGTTGGACTTAGGGTCTAAGATCTGTAACCACTTTGTTATACAGCATCTCACACCTCGTTTTCGTGTTCAAGGGCGCCTCACATACCTTTGGAGCACTCAAACCCAGTCTGTAGGCCGGAACAATCAAGCAGACGGAGCAGACGTTGAAACCAATAAAGGCAACCTGCAGTTAGAGCCAAAAACTTTACAATAAGGAGCAGACGTTATTAATAGAACTGCAGTACATCTGGGAGAAACCTAGACTATAAAAAGACAATACAGAAAGCACTTGTGATGCAGACACCTCGCGGGGCTGTTGCGCGAGCGGCGTGCAACGTGACAGAGATAGAGACAGAGCAGTTGCTCACTCTAGCCGTGCGCCGCAAAGCCAGCCTGCTTGATATCTCGCTGGAGCTGACGACAGAGGGGGGCCAAGGGTCAGTAGGCGACAAGCTGCAATGTAGCTTAGTGGGAGAAGAGGGTGCAACCAGCAGACTTTGCTGCCTAGACTTGTGCGTTGCAGGTAGGCAAGGACTAGTAGCTAATGAAGTTAGCATGGGAATATGTAGTGTGGGACTTGGGTACTTTTTGGCATGGTCAGGTTAAGTCTCGAGGACCGGGAGTTTGGCTTTGGTACGAACCCCCCTCCGCTTGCCCTTATGTTGTTTCTCCTTGCCCTAGGGAGGGGAACACATTGCGATGAATTTGGCCGGATCTGGCTAAGCTAGCAACGAGGGGCATCAGAGCGCGCTCACTTGTGCTTCACTGTCGCTTCTGCCTTGTGCGTTGTATGATCGGTAAACGTGTCTGAGTCGAAGGTATAGATTGGTGTTCTATTACACAAAAACGACGCCGTTAATTGCGAGGAGCAATTAAAGCCTTATATTACTTCGTGATATGTTCCTTTGTGTTAGAGGGTGTTGCGTGAAAGACCTAATGACGCGTTAGTAGCATGACTTAATGTGCCCAAGGGCATCGCGAGGCTGTTAGTCAACTCACGTCGTAGGTAGGTATCGACAGTCTTAGCACTGCGATGCTTTGCGCGTCCTGAGGTCGAGACTCAGGTTCTTGGCTTTACGCAAAGACGACAGCAGGTTTAAGCAAAGATAGAGTAGCGGTACTGTCTTAAGCAAAAGTTAAGGACTCACTGGTTGTAGTGTGGTGTAGAGTTAGATGGATTAATATTACTAGGTGTATTAAGAAGAAGAAGAAGAAGCTGTGTAACTAGCCTATCTGTAGTTGCGGACGAGATGCAATTTTTACAAGTTACAAGTAAAGGACCTCCATGTTAGTAACGTAATGATTATCTTGGTAATGCTGCTGGTTAGGGTCGGCTAGATGCTGCATGTAGTAGGGCCACACTTTGCATAGATATCTAACATGATCCCTCGCCGACGTTGCCTACCTACAAGCCCCTCATCGCCCAGGGATCAAGCCGCCCAAGTGCTTATAGCAACTTGGTGGTCAGAACGCTATGATAAGATAGAGCTAAACATATAGAACAACCATAAGCACCAGAGTTAATAGAGACAAACAGTGCACAGTGGGATTAACTCTGTATTATACCTATTGGCCTTTGGAGCTACCTGTGGTGTCCCTTGTATAGCAACAGTTCTTTATTTTCCTTGAGAAGTTGGCTAGCTAAGAGGTTCCCATTGCTTGTTACATCGATAGCCACCCCACGATTCCATCCCATTTCTGGCGCTAAACCCTGTGCTGGTCTGAACAGCAGACTTGCCGATTAGAGGAAGCAGTTGGATTCCCGTTGTACCATCCGTTCCAGCGTCATAAATTCTTGTCCTTGGAGACGTCGTGTGAGAGGTGGCACTGACAAGAGGGCGCGCTCGTGGGCTTCGGTGTCGCAGGTAAGAGAGGTGATGTCGGTGTTGTATAGCATGGCGTTGCATAATACCCTTTGGCGGGCTAAGATACGCGCTTCGCAAGGGTGCTGGCGTAATGGTCACCAGCGACCCCTGTCTTGAAACACAGACCAAGCAGAGTCAACCTTGTATGCGAGTGTTTAAAGAGCTTTAGAATGGAGATAGGAATCTAGTGCGCTTGTCAGAAACCTGGCTTGACGTCCTAGGGGCAATTAATCGTACTGCAAAGAGTGCAAAACTTACGGGGATAGAGTCGATGCCCTCGCAGGAGAGGGCAATCTGCTCTAGTTGAATTTAGAGCATTGACATGATGGCGTCTCAGCTCCAAGGCGAAGTTGCAGTTTTCGATGTACATCGTTTACAGGTTGTAGGCGATTGAGCGTCTGCTGCCTCAATGTTTGCTGATGTGGAGAGAGAGAATGGAGAGAAGAAGAGGGAAATCCGGAAAGAGGATGAAGAGGAAAATCAGAACAGATGGAGGAGGAGAGGGAGACTCAGGAGAAGCAGGTGTTTCCGCCCACAGACTGGCGGGCTGTGGTAGATGCCGGACTGGGAAGCACAGCCACGGGGTTTTACCTAACTGTGGCGAACGAACAACAGCTCCACTTTCAAGTTGCCGTTGGTTGCACAACGCCGTCATCCAGGCCTTAGCAGTCAAGCCGACAGACACACGGCATTTGATAGATTGTGCCTGCATTGCGTTACCTAGGTAGATCATAGCTAACCTGCATAATCGCACCCTGTCTGCTTATGACGTCTCCGCATGGTGACGGTGCGAGGGGGTGTAATGTGATGAAATGATGCGCCGTATTTTCAGGGCCTGATAACAAGCAGCATATTAATTGACATCGTGATGTATTGCAATCTTAGTTGGAACGTTTTGGGTGGCTAGGATGATCAGCCAGTGGGTGGGGTGATGGGCAGATCTGGTTATTTTCTGCCCAGATCTGGGCTGATCTGAGCAAAGTGGTTGAGGTCAATTAGAACGTGCTGCGCGGCGATAATGATCAGGGTAGGTGGAGCTATGGGCAGATCTGGGCAGAAAGTCAATTGGAAAGTGCCGAGCGGTCATAACAATCACTTAGCGGATGGGGTCCTGGGCAGATTTAGGCAATATCTGCCTACACCTGGAATTGCGCCCTACGCAGGTGCTGTACGTAGTCGAGTGGCATCGCGCCACGTCCACTTCGACGCCCCACTCAGCCAGACATGTGATGAGCAAACAGGTAGGAGCAGCTATTATTTGATTCTTTCTTCCTTTCTCAGTCTTGTCAGAACATCAACACCAAAAAAAAAAAAAAAAAAAAAAAACCATCAACATCACCACAGCTTCTCTTCGTTCCCCACGTTGCATGACGTATTCAGGACCGCCTCTCCTTCCTGTCATCGCTGCCCTGTCCTATTCCTTTGCCTGCGATGGCGCGCTTCCGACCGCGCCCTCCCTAAGCCTTTCCTCGCCTTTGACCGCCTGGGTTCCAATGCACTCCCTACCCTCAGTCATAGCTACGCCCTCGTCTGTCAACCGCGCTGCCTGTGCTAGACGCCGGCAATGGCCTGACATTTAACGGACCTGCCTTGCTATCGTCTCGAACTTCATATACCTTATCCCCTCCCCCTCTTCTTCATCCCGTCACGGCCTCAATCACTCTCTCACCCGTCTCGCGATCTAGAGACTGGAGCGATGGGCAAGGATAACCCACCTGGTGCGTTATGTCTCCGTCGTTCCGCCGTTCCAATACACAATGTTGACCTGATTCCAGATCTGAACCGCCATACGTAAGGACATACGCTGATATCCTGACATGACTTCGCACAAGCTCCCCCCCCCCCCCCCCCAGCTCTTTTTCAGTACTCCCCAACAGCCAATGTTCTCTTTTGCAGTAAGCTGACGTCTTGACGCATGGTGCAGACCCTTTGGCGCCAATCGGCAACAGCCCTTGGCCTCTCTGTCAATAACATCGCCACCATTGTTGCTATTGCTGTCGCTATCCATTCGCTTTTCTCGAGCGGCCCTTGTGATGTCATGCACAAAAGGCCTTGGTCCCTCTGCCGATTCAGTTTCAATAACCCGGTAACGCTCCTCTAGCTAAGTAAGTAGGTTCCATTGTGGCTACCGTCTCCCGGTAGTTCCAGCAAGCCAACACCAGGAGGTACCCTAACTCCATTTAAACTAGGCAACAAGAGCCTCCACCTAGTCTGCAGGCTGTGGCCCCAGAGCCGTTAGAGCTCAGTACGGCAAGCAAAACAACGTTCTGCTCATATCGGTAAGGTGTGAAAAGCCCCTTATTGTTGTGATATATGTGATTAGTGTGACAACGACTTGAAGATTAATTATGCCCTGGGAATATATGAAGGCAGCAAGTAAGGACAAGTCTACGAATGCAGTGACCCATGAACAGGACGAAAGGATAGACCAGCCCGTTCTTTTAGGGCATATTCCACCTCGTTAGAAAGAGATACCCTTTTAGAACATAATATTATAACAAAGTGTAACAAAGAAGTAGCAGGTCTTTGTAACCAAAACAGTGTATGCATCACCTATAGCGCGCTACTGCACCCGCGTCTTGTCCCAAATCGATTGAAAACCATTAGGCGCGTTTACTAAAAACTGCACGCAATGACCCTATGCCTGGCCACAGTCAAGTCTTTTGCCTGGGTTCTCCCCTCCTCTATATGGAGTTTGACTCTTGTTACTTTTCTGTCTTCTTCCTCCTGCTAACCTTTTCTCATCGTCTCCTCGTCATTTGACTCTTTTCTTCCGAGTTTAGATTAGAACCTCCTGAGGACTCTTGTAAAAGCACCTAAGCCTTTAATTAACCTCTTGTTCCATCAACCAACTCGTCGTTTTTTTCTGGGCCGTGGGAGGAAGAGGAGGCCCGCCAAGGTCTCTGTTCGTAACGGCATAGTTGCAGCCCGGGACCATGCCGACGATGATAGCGTGGATCGTATCCATGACGGCCATGGTGACAGTGCAGCAGGTTCTTGCGTTGATAGTGGCTGTTGGCGAGGTTGCATCCTGGCAGTTGAAGAAGGAAAAATTGCCTGCGACGATAGGCTTTCGGTTCTGAAGCTTGGCCAGCATGTTGAATGCCATGTCAGACGTGAGAGTATCGTCGGTGACTCTGACGCGTATGTAGCCTAGACCTTTGGTGGCGCCGCTGGTGCTACTACTGGTGGTACCAGCTGGGGATTGCTCAGGCGACTCTGGAACAGTCACGGCCTTTTTGCCTAGGTACCTAGATGGGGGATATCGTCAGAAGATGTTCCAAGCCACGCGAGTGTGTCCAACGTACCCTGAGGTGTCCTTCTTTTCGGATAACGACGACGGGAAGTCGATTTCTTGGGCATTGTTGACGCAGGTGGCCGAGGTACATTGTGGGTAGGAAAGACGGCCGATTGATTCTGGTTACTTTTCTTTTTTCTTTTTTTCTTTTTTTGTCTGTCATGAGATGGGAAAAGCCTCATGGGATCTTTCCATCCAGCAGGAGTACGTAACGATGGGATATAGGCATCTCTCAGCTTGCAAGTGAGTGAGTGAGCGAGCGAGCGAGTGGGGGAGTGAGTGAGTGGGTGACTAAAGAGGACGACAGTGCGGGTGCTATCACTCAATCATGAGCTTTCCACTTGGGACCTGCTGCACCGAGTTTCTTTTTGTCTTGATTCATCCTCGGCTCGTACAGCTTACGTACATCATCGCAGTCCTTGGACTCCAGCAACGCATGGCAATACCTTCATCATCTATAGAGCCCAGCCACATGGTTCCACTTTTACGGTCGATCCATGCGCCACAGGATCAGGGAAACGTAGGGAGGTAGCTTTGATTCCGACTCAAAAGAAAACGAGGTCGGGCCGTTGTAACCGACTAAGATTCTCATCCAGGATTCTTCTATAAAGACCTGACGATTCCATCTTTGTGCCTCACAGCCGCTCAAATCCCCAACCCCACGGGCACTCACTCCATCCGCCCCGTTGCACTTTAGTCTTGGAATTCATCAGCCTCATTCATACATCTGCTCAGGCCACTTGATTGACATGTGCGTGCCCTCTGTGTCTTATATACCATAATGCACAAGAACCGCAATGCTATCTTTGACAGTTAATGTAACAGAGCAACGTAGACCAAGCAGTTAAAGAGAGGCCGCCTAACCCACCAGGTAACACAACTTCCTTGTTGTCTAGCAAGATCAATAGCTAAGTACTAGACTAAGATAGCTATAGCTACAACGTTAGCTATAGGATAATCTATGTGCTTTATAATGTCTATAATAGGGAGGGGGCCTTAAGACATTAACAAGAATTCTATAAGCTTTACTGCTTTGTCTTTAGTCTATAGATTAACCTACGCAGGGAAGGTAAGTTAGCTTTTTTCCTTAACACTATATATAGTTAGGTGTTAAGTGTAGTATAGTTTTCTTCCTTGTTCTTCTTGTTTTAGAGGGATTCCCATGGGATACATATTATTAGAAACGGCTTACTGGCTCAGGGGGAGGAGTAGTAGGAAGCGAATGTTTATCGTCATATTGGCTGCCTTCTTTGTTGGTGTTGTTCTTGTCGTCGTCGTTGAGCGCCTGGGACTAGGGCCTGCTCTAGTAACACTGGTATGAAACAGGCGACCGGCTTCCAGCTCTCAGAAAAGATTATGCGTCGGTTCCAAACAAGGGCGACTGCAAGTCGATCCTAAAAGAAGATGAGTGCAAAGTGCCAATAGGAGGAGAGCCGCGGGTAATGGCAGATGACGACAAAGGAGGCAGGGGCGGGGATGACGACAAGGTTTATATAGAGTCTAGGAGACGGTTGTCAGTTCTTTCTGTGTGTTAGAGAGAATCCGAGCATGTGTACTCGCATCTGGCGGGACATGACTTGGAAGGTAAGTAAGTGTAGGAGTGAGTGTGAGCTAAGAGGCTTGAGTGATGGATCGGTGGGGGTTGAGTGAACCAGGGAGTGTGAGTAAGTGAGCGAGTGAGTGAGGATTGGCCGAGGAACAACCACCACGTGATGAGACCTGCCTGCCTGCCTGCCTGGGGCACACACAGTAGGATCCGCTGATGCCGTCCTCTTTCCACGCCCTCTATCCTGGCCAAGTGTGGCTTTTTATCTTTTCTTGAAAGTCAGCCAGCAAAAAGAAAGAATCGGCCTTCTCTCCCCCCTTGCTGGTTTTTATCCTTGTTCTTTTTCTGTGGTCGGTTTTCTTCTTCTTCTTCTTCTTCCTGTTGTCCTTTCCATCTGTCTGGTCTCATCTGTCGTTCTGTTCCTGTCTTGCTCTAACTGTTTGGTCCTGTTTGGTTGCGCCTTTGTCTCTTCTGGTTCGGTCGGCTCGTCTGTTTTATTTGTCCTTCTCTTCTTCAAGATGGGTAGAAGCGTTTGTCTTCCCGCTGAGGGGGGAATGAATGTAAGCATTTCTCTAATCAACAAAATATTGTCATTGTTGTCTTACATCATGGCTCTCCTAACTTACTCTGTCCTAATACAATGCATGTCTGGCTTCAATGTTCGAAGATCTAGCTATTTAGTACATAAACGCTTCATATACCCTTTCACCAGAGGTTAATCTAGATTGCCAAGCATTAGTCTAACCATGTTTCTAGGACTACATCAACGAGTACCTGTTCCTTCAGCACCCGACTACGGCTAACAAAACCTAATGGGCAACAGGGTCAAAGCAGACACTCTTCAGAGGTTTGCACCTAAGCAGTAGTTAGACAATAGCGCCATCCTACTCCTACTCCAGGAGGTACTCAAGAGTAACACATGCTAAGGCATCTTTAATTTATATAAGCAGGTTTTAACTCACTATAACACTAGTAAGTCTAATAAACTCTCTTAGATTAAGCACTATATAAACTTATTTAATAAGCTTATGTTTACTATACTACTATACTTTGAAAACTACTAGGTCTTATTTATTTACTTTCCCCCTAGGGGTAAGGTTTACTACTATAGCTCCTTGTATAATAATAGTTATAAGGAGTATATATAGTAGGTAATATGTCTATTACTATATACTGTCTTTAACAGGAGTATTAACTTTCTTCCTCCTGTAGTAAAGTATATAAGTATACTTTACTATCTATCTATAACTAGTAACTTACACTTATAGGCTACTAATAAATATACTAATATATATATATATATATATATATATATATATATATAGGCCTTTTAACAGTAAAACAGTTATAACTGTAGTCTCTATATTATTTATAACACTAAGATTACTACATAACCTACTAAAGCTAATATCTTTGCCTTGACCCTTAAGCTGGACTTACTCTAAACGCACTAACGTATTATTCTTAAGCGTATAGCTGTTAATTAACTAATGTCTTTTGTTTTCTTGCCTTTCTTTTATTATTTTAGATATAAAAGATATAACTAATGCCTTAATAATTATACTTGCCTTTTGTTTTTTCTTCTTCTTTTTTCTTTGTTCTCTTTTTTAACAAGTTGTTATACTACTGTTACTACTATAACTTAAGAGTTAGTTAGTAGCTAAATAATATAAAGTGATTTCCCTAGTGTTTCTTAATCTAATCCTTAATCTATAACAGTATCTTATTATCTATGTGCTTAACTATACTATATAGGACTATTTATACTTATAAAACCCTTGTAGTTGCTTTAACCTAAGTGTATTAGGTAGTTTAAAGACCCTAAAAGCTAAATACTGTTGTCGAAAAAAGTGTCTAATAGAAACTCTTGTTATAATAGCTTTATATATTACTTACTCTTAGCATCTGCCTTATAATATACCCTCCTATGTGTATAACTATTATTACTTGTACTACTTGCCTATATATAGGGTTATATTCTTTATACTAACTTTTTTATAATATAAGCTACTTTATTCTTGTTCTTATATGTCTTACTATGTCTTTTAACTTATAATAAACGCCCTATAGATAATATATATACCCTATTACTACCTTAGACCTAAGTCTCTTAACTACTTAATTAAAGTCTAAATTTAATAGAAAAGAACTAACTATATAAAGATGTTATTAGACTACTTTACTAAGTTATAGATAACTTAGGCTTTTAGAGAATCTTAGCTTTAGTGTAGCTAAATCTCTACTTAGTATTTACCTCTCTAGTACACTACTAACTACTATAGTGTATTCCTTTATATTAATAGAGAAAATATCCCCTAGTTAATCTTAGTTAAATAAAAGTAAGACAAGTATTAATAAGCTTAGTCTAGATTAATTAAGTAGTCTAGGAAAGGTAATAAGGCGTTAGTGCTAGTAACTATTAAAGTAGTAATACTATATATACTATATTATCTAGTTACCTAGTTAGTGTCCTAATTAACTAGAAGTACTACTATATCTAGGTAGCAAGAAGATTAATAAGGTCTATACTACCTCTAATAGCTAGATCTTAGCCTAAATAAGGCTAAAGCACTAATTATATTAAGGTAGTAAGGATCTAGTGTTTAAGAAGCTAATAGACAACTTTAGTGTTACTATATTAGGCAGTAACATAAAGTAGAGCCTCTAAGGTATACCTAATACTAAGATAAAGAGGCTAAGGCTAGTAATCCCTATAAGTAATACTAAGAATAAGTAAAAAGGACTAAATATATCTAGGCTTAAGGTTTTATACTTAAGAAAAAAGCTTTATTACTAGTTATAGTAACTAAAGGGCTACCTATAATACTATAGGGGCTATAGTGTCCTTAATCTCTTATTTATAATAGCTTAAACAGTTACTAATAGTAATCTAGTTAGCTATACAGAGGCCTAATTCTTTACTAGACTATATCTTTGTCCTTAACTAGTTGTAACCTATAATAGTATTTATCTTCTTAAAGAGGGTAGGACTACTGTAAACAAGAGAACTAGGGTCTTAGATCCTGCAAGTATTACCATTAATTATAAGGCAAAGCATACGTAGTGTTACCAAAATCAAAAGAGCTTTTAAGGCAAAGCAGAGGGCCCTTAAAGTTAGAAAATCATCAGCCTTGTGCAGCGTCAATTAGAGGATATGGCAGTGGAATATAGGCCCTATGTTTGGACCAGGTGAGATGATGTTGAGTGGTGGCAGAAGTGGATGAGAAAGGCGTCAACAAAGAAGTAAGCAATGGGATAGAGAATAGAAGACCAAGTTTGCGGAAGGTGGTCGTCTGTCTACGACTTTCCTTCAACTGTTAGCGACCAGCCTCTACACCTTTGCAGTCTTCAGACGAGGCACTCAGTGAGTCCCTGCTACCGTAATTGACTCACTGAGGCTGTCTGGAGTTCGTTGTGCTAAAAGGCATAAGCAGCACTTGCCTTACAAACAATCAAATTGCTGTAGACCAGAACCAGCCCATGTTCAAACATTCGTCAACATGCCTAGGCATTCCATATTCCCCGGAATTAGCGACTGCCAATACTATATTTCATTTCATTCAGAAAAATTAACCAGAGACAGGCCAGTCTCAGTGAAAGCTCCGTATACGCTCAATAGCTTGACTTGGAGGCGATGTCTTGTGCACTTTGCCCTCATACATCCCTTCTTGCTTGTTGGGCTAATTCATGGCAACTTCTCCAAATATTGAAGTGTGGCGCAGATACGCGTGCCATCGGATTTTGGGCGGTAGTGTGGCAAAATCCGCCCATGATGCGTTGCCGACGTTCTACCGCGGACCTTGCCTATTCTAGAATAGTGGATCTTGAGATGTGTACTCCGTACTATCGCCAGCATATTATTACCCAAGGTACGGAGTACAGTAGATGCAAAGCAGAGTTATGACGTCATTGATGATTAATATAGCGGGGCTGTGCACAAAGCAGCTGCTGCACACGAACCGTTTGGATCGGCGTAGTTGCCCATAGCAACGACAGCTTACTAAGGCTACAGAAATAAACAATTCAAACTTGTCATCAACCACCGACTACCACCTTTCGTCTTTCCATCGCAGTCAATGCCCTCCCTGCTAATACCACACAGCACGCATTACGACCTTATATCACACAAGATCGCTTCTGTGATGAAGGCGAGTGCCATCGTCGAATGGCTTGCCACGTCTCAACCTTGTGGATTCTACTCGTCGTCTCAATCGAGCCCCGTCGACAGCGACAGCGACAGCGACATCAGCTTTGGGTTCGGTAACCCAACCCACGACGATCGACGACCTCGTAAACGCCCCCGACTCCGCAGAACAGACGGCGCCATCGTTTCATCGCTTCCGACACCTTCACTCTCCTCGTCCGGCTCTATACCCACTCCTCCTGTCGCCGCATCTGCAACTGCAGCCATGGCCCGGCCAGACAAGCGACTCCGAGACGATGACGACGATGACGACAGTCACAAAATGGACCAAGCTTCTAGCCGTGCCGGCAACGTCGGCGATGTCGAAGACATTTTTGCAACCCCTAGACCAAATCGTGTTCTTGCCGACCTCGAGAGTCTTCGGAGCACCTCGACCCGCAGCTCCAGGCAATCAGCCTCGTCAGCCTCCCGTACATCATCACCGAGAAAACAAATGCGTACCGCCGAGCGCGTCTCCAAGGGCTTCACACACGAAAAGTTCTCTCAAAATATGGACAAGTTGAGCCCCTCCCTACTCGGATTACTCGATAGGTTGGAAGCAATTGATAGCGGCGTGGGGTTATTCCCTATAGCGGCAAAGGAAGAGGTAGGTGGACATACGTTATGATTATATCCAACCGATGGGCCAGGCCCTGACATACCGTAGCTTGTAACTGATGTATGTGCTATTCACAGCTCGCGGACCTTCGCATTCCCAAGCATGCATATGCTTCGGCTGATGGACAAGCTCCCTTCCTCCCCCGTTTTCCTGACCCTCGCTTTGTGAAGCGAATCGTGAAGCGCGCTGCGGAATGCGAGACGGAAAGGGAGGGCGAGTGTTCCTGGAATATGGACGTCCATGCACCCTTGCTATCGTGGGTTTGTCGTCCAGATGATGTTGCGGGTTTAATTGACTATAGATGCTGGTAAGAGTATCCTCTACCCCTGTTCCTCTGCCCTTGACCACTTTGCAGTCAACAAGCTAACGCTGATCCCAACCCAGCACGTCAGCAACGGTCCACCCCGAGTATCAGCCAAGAGGCTTCCCGTCAAAGATGGTCGACTTTTGCATGGTTATCCGGCCCCCGAGGGGTAGCGTTGAGTACGACACAATCAATACCATTACCGACTCGATGCCCGGGAGATGCATTAACCACAGCGACTGGGGCAATTTTACACAAAATCCCATTGCTGTCTCATTTGAAACTAAGCGTTCCGAAGAGGATACAGATAAGTCGATTCTCCAAATGGGTACATGGCACTCATGCCAATGGAGGAGTATTAGCAAGCTCGCCCGTGGCCGTCCTGAGCGCGAGCTTGGGGGTTTCCTCTCCGGAGTCATTGTCCTCGGCCACGAATGGTCATTCGTCGCGAGCGTCCCTGGCCCTGCCGAGCAATCCATTCTTTATTCCAGGCAGCGGATGGGAACGACTGAGACAGAGATTGGAGTGTGCAAGGTGTTGGCTGCGCTGCAGGCCCTGCATGACTGGACCGCCACAGAGTACTGGCCGGCATTTAGGGCCAGGATATTAGGGCTCCCATAGAGGTAATCCCTCGGCCTCATTGTCTGATTCTCGCCTCGTCCTCGGCTGTGTAAGGCAGAAGGAAAAAGAAGGACTAGAACTTACGACATTAACGATTTTCAGTCGTCGACATGTATGGGCCATCTAGTTGCCATGTTTGAGGACTCGCAAACTAACTAGGTGGTTTAGGAAAAGAATGTCCTCTCAACGCCGCCCACAAAAGCATCCGCTGCATCTAACAGACCCTTATTCGTCTCCGTCACATGCGTCATCTCTGTCGCCTGATCAAGGTCCTTCAAAGGACTCTGCAAGTGGGCGCTCATCCTTCCCAGCTCTGTATAGAAGTCAAGCATAATTGAGTATTGGGCCTGGTAGTCAGTGGCCGCCTTCTTCGCCTTGGTTTTCAAAGTCAGACCGACCGCCTAGTACATCTGGAGAGTCCACTGCGCATCACCGAGAGTCGCCAGGCCCCGATCTTGCGCCACCGAGATTTCTGTCCCATCACCGTCATGTTTCGCAGCCAGGTCCCTCTTGCCAACCGTCAACTCGTGTTCCCCCACGTGGACCGCCTCTTGAAGCACGTCGTAGAGGCTAGCCATCCGGAACTGCACCCTGACAGGATTACCTAGCTCGTCGCCGCTATCGAACATGCGCAGGAGCACGGGGAAGTTGTCCATGACGTGGTTGATGCTGCGTTGGAGTTTGTGTCCTCGACGAGCAGCCTCACACTTGTGCCTGAGGTCTCCACTAAGCCACATACCCACCCTAGGTAGATGAGGGAAGGAGATGCGTCATGGGGACCCAAAACGCGGCCAGCGATGACCCTCTGACGGGCGGGCTTATCCCCAGCGCGCCATGGTGTCTGCAATGGAATTCATGTCCGCAAATCATTATGGGTGCTGCCGACACGGCGGACACCTCATGCTCACAGTTATTCTGGCCCTGCCCTGCCAGACCGGCTCTCCATGTCAAACCCTGAAAAAAAAAAAACCCCTTGCATAGAAATGTCTTAGTGTGCACAACACCTGCCCGAGATTGCCTTTGTCAAGTCCCCAACGTCCCATGTTCAGAGGCTTCCGAGTTGACTTCCTGCTCCGCGCTGACCATCTGATGGCCGGCCTGGTATGCCTCATGTTCGCATCCATTGGAGCGCACCTTCTCAGTGATAAGTTTGACCAGCTCTTGCAGGTCTTGAGCTCTTCTTGGAGCCTGGTGGTTTGGGCCTCGTCCTTGAACCGTCCTTTTCGGACAATCTTCGTCTTCTCCTCCAACGCGGCTTTCGCACACGAGTGGGTTCCCTTTGCGCAACCGTACTGTTCTTCAAAGACAAGTCAGGCAGACCCGGACACCCCCAGAATGGCCGTGGCAGCGGGATGGGCAAATGGCCTACCATGGCAGCCTCGAGACGCTTGCTGACGCGCTGCGCCGGGGTAGTGGAGAACTGCGGATTAGTTCCCTTTGATTAGAGTTGCAAAAGCAGCGGGTCTCCCTACTTATGGGCCGCTGGTAGCTTGATAAACTGCTATGGTACCACGCCAGCATGCAATAGCTTGGCGAGAGTGGCGGTGCGACAATAGAATTTTGCCATAGTGTTGGCGTTTGTAATTGTCATGTCTGAAATCCAAGATGGTAACAAGAACCGACGGGGCTTACATCATCAGGCTACAGTTACGTCAGCAGCCTTTGTGTCCTTTGGTTCCAGCTTCGGCGGCTTTCAGTCCCTAGCATCCCCCCAGGTAGGTAGACCCATGTGCTAAGATACAAGTACTAGCGGCCCCACCCAGAAAGCTAGCAGACAGAGTACAGGTGCGTATGTGTAGCCCCACATACCCAAATAGGCAGGTGGGGAGGAACGTATTACTCCTTACCTGCCTACCCAAGTGCCTGGGTTCTGAGCGTGGCACCGTTTGTCGGCCCAGCACAACCGACTCACCGACCTTACCAACCCGTCCTACATCATCGTACCTACACAACAATACCTCATCTCAGATAGCGTTTCGTCACCGACAATGGCCTCGTGGCAAAAGCAACTCGCAGACTTTGTGTCCCACTGTCAACACCCCCCCGACGACGTCGATCCCTCCGACCGCAAGACCGCCGACCAATACATCCAGCACGAGAAACAACTCGCATTGTCTATCTAAGCCGTTGACCTGCGAGCCCAGCTGCCGCACTCCATCGTCCAAATAATTGTCGACGATATTGTCAACTCGGGCCACACTCCTTCCGACCGCCTTGCCTCCTTGCGATTGAAAGAGGCCTGCGCGGCTTGGGATATTGCACCATCTCACTGCATCTTCTTCCTCAACGCCCCCAATCACGGACGGCCCTTCTTCGAAAACCTTGCAAGGCTTGCCGCGGTTTCGCCAGACTGGCCAACCGCAAGGTCCAAGATCCTGCAAGCAGCATCCCGACGTCGCTGTTCTGAAAAGCCCGGACGCGGTGTTCAACGCAAGTCCGGAATCACGACAGGGGACTTGAATCAAGCCATCGATACGAAACCCAAGCCCGATACCGAACCACCTGCCATGCCATCCACCGAGGTGAAGAGCCCGCTGCCCGTCATCGACCACGACCACGACCTGCGTTCGCTCGACGAATTACGAGTAAAGATGGACAACAAATACCTTACCAGCAGCGCCGCAAGTACCTCTTTCCCTGAAACGTCCCCTTTCGCGCTGCTAACTACTCTTCACAGCCTCGACAGACATTCGGGCTGCTCCCGCCCGACGACTCTGGCTTTCTCAGCGACAAAGACCAAGACGGACACAGCGATGGTGGCCGCCAGACCTTGTCGCCCACTCTTGGACGCGCACACCCCACAGCCCAGTGGGACGAGGTGCACAAGAGGTCCAGGTCCTGCGCGTCTGTTCCACAAACCCCGTTCCCTGCCAAGAAACGCCGCGCTACCTACAGACCATCCACCGATAAGCCCGCCGCTAATGAACCCGTCGATGGACCCGTCGATGAACCCGTCGATAAACCCGTCAATGGCCCCCTCGCATGCCTTCGTCCGGGCGAATGGGTCAGGGGATCTGTTTTGTTATCGTCTCTGACTGCCCTGAGTAGCTTATGGGCCGACTTGGTCATGCTGGTGAATTGCTTGCCTGCCAAGCTAGTTAGCTATGAGAAGCGCTACGTATAAAACTTGAGATGCTCCTATAGTCTTAGCTAGATGGTGGAGTGTTTGTCCTGTTATCGGTAGCGGTTGATGGCTACTGGACGGTTGCTGTCGCCTGTATTAAAGACGGGTCGGGAACGATCTGTGTCTTTGACTCTTTGGTTAAGTGTAGTCGATCGGAGCCTTATGTAGCTGAGGCTGCTGCCTTTCTTTAATAGATTGTTGACGTGGTGAGAACTGAGTTTCCCGGTTAGTGTGTAAGAGTTGAGGCGCTTGAACTGATGGCGAAATGGCCGCGGTCTTATCTATAGAGTACGTAACAAGTTGGAAGTAAGGACTGCGGGGTTGGAGTCGTTCTTCATGTCTTCTACGTGCTTACCGGAGTTGCAGCCCCGCCTTGGACAAACTGGACTCTGTGGCGGAGAATCATTGCCGCCTTTCTCTGGGTCCAAGGCAGATACCAATCGAAACCGGGCATCAAATCTATCTTAGACAATGTCCAGCAAGCGCACGACGAGCTTCTCTCAGCCGGCACAGCCACGTTGCGGACCCATACCAGCCTAGAGCTCAACATTAACCAGCTAGTGTCGGGACTAGAGCAGTTACAGCAGTTACAGCAGTTACAGCAGTTACAGCAGTTACAGCAGTTACAGCAGTTACAGCAGTTACAGTAGTTCCAGTAGTTCCAGCAGTTCCAGTAGTTCCAGTAGTTCCAGCAGTTCCAGTAGTTCCAGCTGTAGTGACAGACGCCTTTAGAACCCTCAAAGAAGTATGCACACAGTAGCAAGCAAACATGCCTCTTAACATATCCGGCCTACCCAAGCCCCAGCCCCAGCCCCAGCGCACGTCGCTGGATACCTTTTGTTGTGTGGCAATAGACATTACGTCTCACGTGACGAAATACTTCCCGCCTTTTTGCAAACACATAATCTGGGTCATCAGCGTGTGTCTTGTCGTGTTGTTATCTACGGCGCTAGAGTGGGTTTTGAAGGGGTGGTACGCATAGCGACGGACCGCTCCGGGACGACAACGACTATAGATTAGTGGAAACATGCAATAGTGACAAGTTTCTCGAGGGAGGAGGCCGTTAAGGTCGAACGGGAGCTAGAGATGTTCTTAAGTGAGCTTTTGAGCGGAATTGAGCGGAATTGAAGGATGTCACTCGGAAGGATATAGGAGAGAGGTCAAAATATCACCATAGCTTCATACATTACTC